ATGGTACCTGAGAGAAAGCAAGCTACGGCTGGGTGGGTTGGGGTGTCTGAGGTTCTTACAGCGTTGAAGTGTTATGATGCCGAGAGAGCAATTAAAATAAAATCTAATTACAAAAACAAGCTATTAATTTAAAAAAGAAAACAGGGAGAGGGAAAAAAAATAACCCAAGCTCTTCCATTCATCCTCCGGATAATGGAATTTGCTTCCTTTCTCCAGCATGTGAATAGCCTAACAAAAACAACTTGAGCTTTATAAATAGCTTTTCATGTCCATTTAATGAAAATGATTTGAGGAAAGAGACGATTGTGCCATCAGTATTCTCCCGAGGAGCCTGGCATGCCGTTGTGTTTAGTTTGAAAGTGTAAATCTCTTTTGTTCCAATAATATATGGCGTTAGCTGCTTGTCCTCAGTCTTTTTCTGTTAGTTCATTACTACACAATTACCATTCACGCTTCATTAGAGTCTCTGTTTCTCTTGGGGAGGTTCTCCCCCCTCCCCCACCCCCCCATCCCCCCTTTTTTTTTAAGACGAAACTCTGCCCTTTTTATCATACCAATGCCATTGGGAACCAGGCGATGTGCTAATTAGCTGTTACTTTTCATGTCTTCTGATTCAATTCTCCAACTTTGGGGAAGGGAGGAGGGAGGAGGGGAGAAGAGATTAATATAAAAAGATGAATACTGATTGATCAAAACTGCATCTGAAGAGGAACGGTTTTGTTTGGAATCAGAAAAGTCCTCATTTTCATCTCGAGCATAATAAAGAATCTGAAATAAAAGGGCCTGAAAAAAAATAATCCAATGCTTCTGAGCAGGAGGGAAAGATGTTTTATTATACCTCTATCTTAGCTGGTACGCCTCACTTTGCCTTTTCAGGCCAGAGACCTTTGAATCTCTCAACAAAACCAGCCACTATAGATCCATTTTACACATTTGAGTTCATAAATCTAATCCCAGCAATCACTGGCTGAAAGGGGGTGCTTAGTTAAGACTAAAGCTCCTTTTCACAGCCCCAGGTTGATGGGTGCCCTCCCAAAGGGCAGGGAGGGGGCATTGGGGGGCTGGTCTTGCTCTGCTCAGTGCTGTGTGTCCCCCACCTTCAGCAGCTGCCTCCACCGTGGTCCCCATCCCCGGCACCTTCTCCTGGCCACTGGCCGCCCGTGGCAAACCCCGGCGGGGCATGCTACGTCGAGCTGTCTTCTCCGACGTGCAGCGCAAGGCACTGGAGAAGATGTTCCAGAAGCAGAAGTACATCAGCAAACCTGACAGGAAGAAGCTGGCAGCCAAGCTGGGCCTCAAGGACTCACAGGTGAGGGGGGTATGAAGTGGGGAGCTGGATTCCCCACCCCGGGGATCAGCTTGGGAGAAGGGGATGGGAGCAGGGAGAACTGTCCGTGACCAGGAGAAAGCACAAAGTAAGTTGCAGAGCCATGAGCATCAACAGAGCCAAAACAGCTGCAAAATTCCCAGCTGGCTGATTAGGACAGGACAGACCATGGTATTGTTACCTACCCTGACCAATCTCCTAGGGTCCCAAAAGGTCAGGATCTGTCATTCCTGCTAGCTTCAGTATGGGCATGAGCACAGTATTGAGGGGGCAACCAAAGGCCTTTTTTTGGATCCTGTTTCACTGAACTGTTTCATTCCTGTGTCACTTCATCCCTCAGGTGAAGATCTGGTTCCAGAACAGGAGGATGAAGTGGAGGAACTCCAAAGAAAGAGAGCTCCTATCTTCTGGTGGCTGCAGAGAACAGACCCTACCTACCAAGTTCAACCCTCACCCAGACCTCAGTGATGTAGGCAAGAAATGTTCAGGAGAGGAGGAAGAGGAAGAAGAAGTTCCCCCTGTGTGCTCACCCAGCCCCCAGCATCCCTTAAGCTACCACCAGTCCCCAGAACATCTACACTTGAGGGACAGACTGGACTCCCACATGTCTCCTTCTCCATCCCATTCTAGCAGTCCCAGCAAACCTTCAGACTTCTCAGACTCAGAGGAAGAGGATGATGAAGGCGAAGTGGAAGAAGAGGAGATAACAGTCTCTTAAATCACCTGCTTGCCCCAACCATCACATGTGGTCATTGCAAAGATTTGAATAAAATCAAGTGCTATAAATTGAAGAGGTGATGTCCCACCCAATTGTCTACATGCTTCACCAGTGCAGGTTCTTTATCACATAGCTGCAAGACTTCCTACTTATGGGTATTCCTTATTCTTTGCCCCATGTGGAGGTTATCATATTCTTAACATCTGCTACCATTTTTATAACGCTGTCTGCTTTATAATCAACATATGCTCAATAACCCTTCTCCCCAAACCAGGCATCAGCCGCTCCTTGCTTCATGGCAGGGAGGAAAGTGTAGCCTTTTAGGAGGGAAACTCCCTGCTCCCCTCAGATAAGAAACAACAAAAAATACAATACAGATGTTGTGGCCATTTTTACTGCCTTTCAAGTGAATTTCCAACTACTATTAAGATTTCAAAGCCCCAGGGACTGGTCTGATGTCGCAACCCTCCCTCAAAGTAAACACTGGGGGACACAAATCAAACACTGCTTCCCTTCTCACCCCCAATATACTTGTGCAACAGACCCATTAAAACCCCTGGAATAACTTCTAAGGTGTAATCTAAGCGTGCCTTGTATAATGGAAGCCTTATCTATTTATATGTTTTTCATTGTAATTTATACATTGATACTACATCCCAAGCACTGTCTAACCCACCTTTTCATCCCCCCCCCAGGCTTTTGCTTATTTTCCACTTTGCTTCTGCTATCCATGGTGTGGACAGAGAAAAGTGGATATGCCTCTTTGATTTTTGACTGAACTTTGCTGTCTTTGCACAGCTTATATGAACTGTACACTATTTTGTACACTTACTCTGTATGGATGTTTTATACCAAGGTTATTATGAATGAATATAATGACAGCTCAACAAGGCTTCTCTGACAGCTAAACTACAGACAAATGCAGCTGTTTGATTGTGTAACTTATAAAGAAATGCTTTTATTTTGTATTTTACCATGTACAGACTTTAAATATATAATAAAGTGAATGATTGTCAAATAAAAACAAAAAGTAGATTTCTAAATTTGATAATTCAGTAATACTTGCTTCTAGTTTACAGGTTGTTGTAAGTTGCCTGGGGCCAAACAGGGAAGGAAAAGACAACTACCTTTTATCAACAGTATAGTGATTCAATAAGAATCTAACAGCTTCAAATTAAATAACCTTACAAGAACATCTATCTGCCTTTTAACTAGGAAGCAACTTGACCCAAGTATAGACTTTCTACAGTTAAAATGAGTACAGCTTCCCCTCCTTGCACTCAAATGCAACTTAATTTCTGCTGATGCTGTCTAGTGCTCCCCTTTAAAGCCTTTCCGACTCTCCTTCTTCCTTCCAATTATTGTCCAGGGTGGTCAGAGTGTGGACAATTGGCCTGCATCACCCTTCTCAGATGCTGCAGTTTGAAGACTAGAAGCGTTATTTTACCCCTTAAGAAACCAGCTGGTTCAACATCTGTGCCTGCTGGAACTCTGATCTTCTCCAGCATGGAAGAGAAGCTTTTGGACAGCAGCAGAAGAAAAATCCCTTTCTCAGGGAGCCTGTAGTGTTGTTATCTGCTGTATCACAGCCCCAGCCCCTCTAGTCCCTTCCTTAGCTCAAAGGCTGCTCAACCAGTGTCCCACACAACTGGGAGAGCTGGAAGTGTTTTCACCTGTGCCAAAACCACGGCAGACAAGGCAGGCAGTTTCCTACACAGCCCCATACCAGGAGCACTGTGCTAATACTGCCATATGCCCATGGAAAAAACACTTATCCATAGGTGTGGAAATCATCTAATAAGCCCCAAATGTTAATACCATATGGAGCAAAGAATGTTTATCCCATCTGTATGAAATAATCTTTCCTAACAAAAAGTCCTCTCCAGCCACCCTACATTTTGGTACCATAGAGCTTGGGAACACCACAGTTGAGCCAAAAAGAGGAGAAAAAAACAAATTGCCTCTTTTGAAGAACACATGCCCTCCATGGAATTTTGAACGTGAAGATCACCTTAAATAAATACCGCCCAAGATGCAAGGCTGTAGTTCCCAGAAGCAATCAGTGAGGCTCATGAAGCGCTAAACCTCCACCAGTGCTAAACCGTCACCCTAAGGAAAACCAGACTTCACTGAATCATGGAATCAGCCAGGTTAGAAAAGACCTTTAAGATGACCAAGTCCAACTGTTCCCCAAGCACTGCCTAGGTCACCACTAAACTATGTCACTGAGGGCTTTGTCTACATGGTTTGTGAACACTTCCAAGGACAGTGACTCCACCACTGCCCTGGGCAGCCTGTTCCAATGCCTGAACACTCTCTCAGGGAAGAACTTGTTCCTAATATCCAGTCTAAACCTCCCCGGTGCAGCTTGAGGAAGTTTACTCTTTCCTTGTTCCTTGGGAGTAGAGACCAGCCCCCTCCTGGCTCCATCCATCCTTTCAAGCCGTTGCAGAGAGTGATAAGGTCCCCCCTGAGCCTTCTCTTCTCCAGACTAACCCACCCCCCCGGTCCCTCAGCCATTCCTCATCACACTTGTGCTCCAGGCCCTTCAACAACTCCATTGCCCTTCTCTGGATGAGCTCCATCGAGTCTGTGGCTCTGTCCTCTAGTGACCCAGCTCTAATCCTGTTGTTTCAATCCAAGAGACTTCTTCAAAGACACTCAAATTCAGGCCTGAAAACCACTGATGGTATTTAAAGATCTTTTCCTGGAAAGTTTCAGGGAGAGTTTGACACAACAGCTATGGGCTCTACTGTTGTCAAGAGGAGCAAGGCAGAGTCTTCCTCCTGGTTGTGTTGCCTCTTCTCCTTCCTGATCCACGCACATGCACTGGCACATAGCTGGGCCTGAAATGATCAGTTTGAAGAGCAGAAACCTTATCTGTTTTCTTGATTTGTTCTCTCAATGAACAAGTGACAGGACAAGAGGAAACAGCCTCAAGCTGTGCCTGGGGAGGTTTAGACTGGAGATTAGGAACAGTTTCTTCCCGGAGAGGGTGTTCAGGCATTGGAACAGGCTGCCCAGGGCAGTGGTGGAGTCACCGTCCCTGGAAGTGTTCACAAACTGTGTAGACAAGGCCCCCAGTGCCATGGTTTAGTGGTGACTTTGGCAGTGCTGGGGAATGGTTGGGCTTGATTATCTTAGAGGTCTTTTTCAACCTGGGTGATTCCATGATTCTATGAAGCAGTCCTCAATGCCTTCAGGAAACCTGATGGCACTGCTGTGCAGAAATAGATTGATGGTAAGGGGACTGGGCAAAGAGCAGGAAGCTGAAAATGGTGGAATGACATTGCCAGAGTTACTGCTGTGGATGAGGTTTAGTAGCTCACCCAGACCCAAGCTTATGAGGTTGTTCTTCCCTCACTGGTTTTGGGCTTGGTGTCCTAACATCTATTTTGCACTGGTTGGTGCTAGTTCATTATGATCCTTGTAAGAAAGGCACTTGGACTCAATAAGGTATCAAAGTGCTATTTATTAGAGCAAACACTGTAAGATGAGAATAGCAGAGATAATTTTATGCACCCTTAGATGGTGGGAGTCTCAAGTGGTGCAGCATCAAAGTGACCTCCACTCCACATACAACAAAACAACTCTATTCAACATTTTTGCTGTCAAACAGAAAGGATGTACTCATGAGAATGTCTGGCTGTATGGTTAGATGAAGGCAAGGACACACAGGTGGCTGGTACTCAGCAGGAGATGCTGGTGGCTAGTACTCAGCAGGAGATGCCTTCAGGCTCCTTTGTTAGTATGGGCTGGCTGAGTTTATCATAGAATCATAGAATAGATTGGGTTGGAAGGGACCTTCAAAGCTCATGCAGTCCAACCCCCCTGCAATGAGCAGGGACATCTCAAACTAGTTTAGGTTGCTCAGAACCACATCCAGCCTGGCCTTGAATGCCTCTTTCTTATAGGTCCCTTTAAGGAACTGAAAGGCCACAATAAGGTCTCACTGGAGCCTTTGCTTCTCCAGGCTGAACAATCCCAATTCTCTCAGCTATTCCTCATAGCAGAGGTGCTCCATCCCTCTGATCATTTCTGTGGCCCTCCTCTGGACCCTCTTCAACAGGTCCATGTCTTTCCTGTCCTGAAGACTCCAGAGCTGGATGCAGGACTGCAGGGGGGATCTCACCAGAGCAGAGAAGGGCGGAATCACCTCCCCTGACCTACTGGCCACACTCCTTTGGATGCAACCTGATATATGAATGTCCTTCTGGGCCATAAGCACACATTGCCTGCTCAGACCCAGTCTTTCACCCACCAGTATCCCCAGGTCTTTTTCAGGGCTACTCTCAACTGCTTTTCTCCAGCCTGTATTGATACTGGGGGTTGCCCCAACCCACATGTATGACCCTCCACTTGGCCCCGTTGAACCTCATGAGGTTTGCATGGGCAACACATTGTCCATTGTCTTAGGGACAAGGGATCTGTGCAGCACAACACCAGTCTGAAGGCAAGGCTGTTCTTGCAGCATAGGGCACAGCACAGGCCTGGGCATACTCAAGTTAACTGTGATGAGGATCACCAACTCCTTGATGTACAGTGGTCTTTGAGGCAGGATTACTACAAAATCTCACTGGAAGCACAACCTCTTCCCAACTGCCTGTGGATCCCATCTCATGTTAAGGTCATTCACACCTCCTAATTGCCCAGCCCTGCATGGGTGAACATCTTAGAGGAGCAGAAGGCAGAATTACAGATGCTTAGCCAGAGCATGGTCTCCACCCCTTGTAAGTAACTCAGTCTCCTTGTGTCTCCAGCAATTGAGAAAATCAGAAGTATTTGTGTATCTGAGCAACCTGGTCTAGTTGAAGATGTCCCTGCTCATCACAAAGGGGCTGGACTAGACCATCTTTAAAGGTCTCTCCTACTGTATGATTCTATGATCAAGAAAGGAGAGAAGAACATGGATTTCTCTATGTGGCTAAGCAAACAGAGATGTTGATGGGGAAGGATTTGCCAACAGTCAGTCCCTCTGCCAATGGCAGAAATGAGTTATCCTCAGCTGCTGTGCTCAGTTCTAACTCACAAGTCTTCTTCTACACTGTAGAGCAGAGAGAATCAGATTGACTGTCCACATTAAAAGCTAGAAACTAATGATGAGTACGTGTTTCCATACCATAAGCACCCAGTTATTACAGCTAACATAGAGATTCATATCAGAATCGTTAATGTTAATAAAGTGGTAAAATAAGACTGTGCACAGAAAGTGTAGAAGAGAGAATGGGAGCTTTAAGGGTGTCAGGAGGCATTTCCTCTCTGGTTCTTGAAGTAACTTCTTCAAGATAACCAATGGAAAAGGTCAGCGGTCAGCGAAGGGTGGAAGTACACGTCACAGGCTGTGCCCGAGTTTGTAAGTGACTCCAAGGAATTTCCCTTTCTGTTGCGGAAAGGAAGTCAGCACTGATCCAACGGCTCTTAGAAATTATGAGGTGGATCCAGGAAGGATACAAAATAAGAATAAAATAGGATGCTGGAAACAGAAAAGCAGGGTAATAAAGGCTAAAGACAAGATGATGCAAAGGAAAAAACGAATGCAAAGAGGAGCGTGCAAGACAGTGCACAGAGAAGAACAAGAACATGGGGAATGGACGGGGCAGCCAGAAAGAAGAAAGGGAAGAAGACTTCCTGGGAGATAGTAAGCATTTTGGTGCCAGTCCAGCGCTGATTCAAACATTGTTCAAGATCAGGGCTGGAGCATTTTCCAGGGCCATTTCTAAAACATGCAACCCTGTGAATCAAAGGAAGTTTACACAACACAGACAAATCTGCATGAACATGTTCAAAACTATTTGCCTCTGGCAAATTATTGTGGAGGGACAGATGAAGCCCCTCTGAAGTAGACTTTGCACTGCTGTGTTGTTGAAAGAAGACTATTTTTAGGTTCAACTGAGCGCAGATCATCAATTTACAGAGAATCTTTCAAAACTTTCTTTGATACAGGTGGATCTGTCTTACCAACATTAACATTTTATATCAGTAAGTAGAGGACACATAACTACAAGGAACAGTTAAAAAGACTGACCAGAACAAAAGCAGAAGTATGAATAGAAAATATGAATTAAAAAAAAAACACAACCCCAAAAAACAAAAACTACTTTTAGGAATTACTCATTTTAAGTGCAGAAGGGTCTGGATTTATCCTTTCTGAAGACAGTACTTTTTTTTTTTGCAGTTAAGATTCTTTATTTGAAAGAAAGGACAACAGATCCCTACTTTTCCTACTGGGCACTGTGAATTTATCACCATGTATCATAGTTGTCTCTATCAACTAGGTGAAGTGCAAACTGTAATAAAGTGTGGAATGTACAGGTTGCCCAGAAAGGCTGCAGATGCCGATGCTCCATCCCTAGAAACATTCAAGGCCAGGCTGGATAGGGCTCAGAGCAACCTGATCCAGTTGAAGATGTTAGACTAGTTGCACAGGTGTTAAGACTAGATGAGCTTTGAAGGTCCCTTCTGACGCAAACCATTCTATTGAGTCTGTAAACAGAATTGCTTAATGCCCTTAAGTTTCCTTTAAATCAACTCCCTAAAGAAGAGAATAAAAAGTTTGAAAGACCCACCAGAGCAAGTGAAGACTTGTAAGATGGTCTCATACTTATGCTAGACCTCTTCTTGGAGATCCAAGTGATGCCAACAAATACTCTGCTTTCACAAAGTTACCAGGAAAATTTTGTCATTTTTTTTTTCTGCAAATGAAAATATGTGATGGCTTTATTCTAAGTGACAAGTCTGATCTGCCCAGGGTCACCAAATTAAGTACTGCGAGAAGGTCCCATCCCTGGCAGTGTCCAAGGCCAGGTTGTATGTGGCTTGCAGCAACCTGTTCTAGTGGAAGGTGTCCCTGCCCATGGCAGGGTGTTGGAATTTGATGAGCTTTAAGCTCCCTTCCAACCCAAACCAGTCTGTGATTCTGTAAAGGCCATTCTGGAAAAGTATGTTCAGACTAGGCCTGACACACACTGCACCTGCAGTCCCTGTAAGCTACAGTGACTTGTCTTGAAGAAGCTAGAACCAGCTGGTATCAGGGTACATTCTGATGGCCACGTCCTGTTTGACTTTGAGCCTTATGCTGAGACACTCTAAATGGATAGACCAGTCTTGTCTTGAGCAGATCTTGATGTGTGCAAACATTAGCTATGGGCAAGAGAATTGCAGTGGTGTAGTCCCTCCGCTAAATTTCCTCCTGGATGTGGTTGGCATCTTTCCACAAGTACTTACAGGAAGCCAATAACAGCAAAGTGAACCTTACAATCTTCAAACAAAAACCCCAGAAAATGCTGATTAAGAGTTCGGGGAAGCCACAAATCTGAATAAATAAGCATCAAATTTATTGAATCATGAATAATTTAAGACTGGTACAATCATCAGCTTTATTCTCCATGACACAGGGGGTGAGGAAGGGGGAGAAACAGGGAGGGTGAGAAAGGGGAAGCATGATCTCAAACAGACCATTCACAAATTCCAATCCTAAATGAGAACTGAAAATTAAATAGGGAGAAGAGCAAATGGAAAACATCATAAACATACACAAAATACTCAATTCCTAGTTTTTTCTCTTTAAAAATGGCTAGAAAAAATTCATCAAAATGCAGCACTTTTAATCAAATATTTACATTTCTATGTTACAATGAAAAAATGTACATCTTATAGAACATATTTCATAAACTGTTCCACTGGAAACAACTAGATCAAAACAGCAACCTTCCATTGAATAGCAACAAAGTGGTTTTTTTTTTGCTTTCTTTTTGCAGTTTTTTTTCCTTGGCCACATTTAGACAAGATTTCATACACATAATACCGAAGTTAAGCATCAACAATGAAATAGCAGTTTGCTTCTTCCAAAATGTACAAAAAGGCTAACCAACCCCCTCCCTCCCCTTCCCCAAATAAACCACATTTCATTTATGGCCTGTTATCATTCTTGGCAGTTCTGAAGAAAATGGTTTTCTACTTTCAATTTATAACTCAACACGAATGTTGCATAGAATTTTACATTTCTTCCTTGTTTTTTTATTTTTACACAAGCCAACTTTGTAAGAAACAAAAAGGCAAAAATATAAG